GGTCGTCTTCCCCGCCCGTTCTTCTTAATTTGCTTACCTGACATCAGTTTAACAAGTTATCTGCAGCCTGTCATTCTTCCACACTAATATCATTAACGGAAGGGAGCCTCTAATATCTCTATTAAACTGGAATAAAGCAAAGTCTTCAATATGTAACGCCTCTAAGTCAACCAGGCATTACTGAAATTACTTAATCCGCAAAGTCAGTAGTTACCCACCCTACTTTACCACTACCAATCACTTCACAAGAGTAGTAGCATTATCCAGACGCATTTCATAGCTTAGTTTTAAAATTTGTTTCCAATGTACTATTTCAGTGAGGATAAAGTAGAACTACAGAATTAATGTCAACCTGATTTTCAGTTACATTACATTTGGCCACTTCTAAAACAAATATATAGAGGAAAAGAGATATAAAATAAAATAAAAACCCTTGCAATTCATTTATTAAATTGTTACTCTCCCAACACAGAGCATTACTTACCTGCTATTGTGTGTGTTCTAAATACATATGTATAGGCTTTCTTCTTCTCCCCACCCCCTGCCCCAGTAATTCTCATACTGGGACACACTTAATTACCTAAGCACATTGACATGTATAGGTTTCTGGAAGACTAAAATGTATATTCTACCAAATCACAGTCATATCAGATAGTCATTAAGTCTAAGCAAGGGAAGAAAAGGAGCTTTTGTAAAAAAAAACAAACAAACAAAAAACCAACCAAAAAAAACCCAACCAAACAAACAAAAACAATTATAATACTCCCACTATAATTTATTCAATTTCCATTATTTGAGAATGAAAAGCTAGAAGCATCATGAGAATCTTGTATTCTTGATGCAATCATTTTCAAATAACAGCACGGGCCCAACAGAAGAGATACCACATTATAATAAATAATACAAATGTATAGTGGCTACTGAGGTTAGCTCCCAGTTTCACAGCATTTAATCTTCATATTTTAATAGTCTGCTGGCTACTTTAATACATTGACTTATGGATGAGCTTTGTTTAATCCATGTATACAAAGTTCATGTTTTTATTATAACCTACTACAAGTGGCTGAACCCAAAGTTTCTTAGCAATGGTATCTTTCAGAACTGGGATGCTTTTTGCCATTACAGTCAGATTTGTTTCTTTTCTTAAGTACCTTAGTAAGCTAAATGCATTCTTTTTACAAGTCTTGAACTACATAGGTTGTAGAATAGACAAGGGGTGTTAAATTGCGGTGTTTCAATATGAACAAATCATCCCAAGCTTTTAAATATTTCCAAAGAGTAGAACAAGTCATCAGAACCTGTGGTTCAAGCTGGTGATACAATAGCCTTTAAGATGATTTAGATGACAGAAGCAGTGTTTTCCAACTCACCCATTGGCTTCCCTCAAACTTAATATTCTCTTTGTTTGGCCAGCAGATGTAGATGATAAACTCAAGTTGGTAAAGGGAGGAGAGGGGGGAAGAAAAAAAAAAAAAAAGGACAAACATCTTTAACAAAAGGAGAGGGAGGGATTTGTTATTTTCAGAAGACTGAATCATCATGGCCACGTGTAGTATAGCCACAATAGAGCTGAAATGGTTTTTCCTTCACAACCATCACTTCCATGAGGCTCACAATTTTTCGGTTATTTGAAAACTAGCTGAAAACACTTCAGATTTTTAGCACACTTTGAGGAAAAAAAAAAAAAGAAAAGAAAAGACTGTACCTCTTACCCAAGATTTCATAAGCTTTGTATCTTTCCACATTATTAACAGATATATTTGGTTATGTGTAAATATTCAGCAAATTTCTATCAGTGTTCAGTGCTCTGAAATTGTATCATAATATTCAAAAAGGAGTGATACATTTACAGAGAAAAGATACCACATTCACGAGATCTAAAAAACACAGGAGAGAGACACCCTTAGGCACTCAGGTCTAAACAAAGTTGAAGCTAACAGGGGTTACAAAGGAGGTTTGGTGACAGATTGGTTATTCTAAACGTCCTATGGATTCTCCTGACACTTTCCTCAAAAATCTGCTAACCTAGCTCAAAATTGCTGCTCACCTAGCTTCTCACTGGTTTTATCAGTAGACCAAGTCCCCTATCTCTAACAAAAAACAAAAGAGGAAAAACCCAAGTACAGCCAAGATCACAAAGGCATGTTATCACTGCCTATAATCACTAAGCAACAGTTCCACAAACATGCAAACCTAAAAATGGGAGAATTTTAGACTATTGGAAGATATACTGTAAACATGAGATAGCCAGGTAACCAAATGACAAACTATTATCTGACAGCCTTGAAAACCTCTCCATGTGAACTGCTTTTAAGCCAACTTGTAATAAATACCACATGCAGCTAAATTTAAAAAAAAAAAAAAAAAATCCTAAGCCAAGTTAAATAGTAACCAATGTTCAAATTTAACCATATAACGTCTACATTAAAATCCAAAATGACAATTACAAAATATTATATTACTACGAACACTGTCAAATGCTTTGAATAATAGTACACTAAGGAAATAAGTAAAAACACACTTTACCTTGTATCTCATTTTGGGGCATGAATGAATGTAGAAACCCATATAATAAAAACAGAGATCAGGAGCTTTTTCATGAAGTTGCCTAGTAAAAGCAATTTCCCTGTGAAAGGAAAGAAAAGACTAATTACTTTTGAATACAATTCTTATATTCATTTTACCTCTTCATATTGAAATATTTTAGAGCTACCTGGCTCTTGACCTATTTAAAGGACTAGCCTTTTATCAAATAAAAAATGAACATAATAAACTCAAAACTAATGCTTCAAAAAACCCAAAGATAATAAACTGAAAATTAATGCTTAAAAAACCAAACAAACAAATCACCAAAATGCAAAACACCATGTCAGGCTTAAAAATACTTCCATTTTTGTGTTTTGTCCTGCCAATTGACTAATTTGAAATTCAAATAAAAGTGACTAAGAGCCTCTATTTAAGAGTTTTCTTGTTAATATTCATGTACATTGGAATTCTACAGAAATCTGGCCGAGCTATTGTACACAGACTGGCTAACGTGGCTCAGGAAAACATCAGAGTATTTTTAAAAAACAAGATTCAAGGATAAGCCTCTTATTTGTTCTCTTATTTGCATTCTAGCAATTTACATGTAAAAACATCCATCTTTATGCAACAAAAGGTATTTTTCACCTATTCCATGTTTATTTGTATGATTTTCTCATTTATTCTGAAAAAGATGGGTCAATGGATTCCAAAACAACTTTGCTTTTTATTTTACTGGCCCAAGGAAAATAGTATTATTACAAAGATTCTGCAGTGTTTCCACTATAATGCTCATTTTTATAGCATTTGTAACTTTGCAGTTCACATTTTTACCAAATTTGACAAAATATGGATGTTGGTCCTTACTTTCAATGTCGAAGGGATAAGAGGATATGAGCACGTGCATATAGGAAGCATGTACAAATGCTGGGGGTTTTTTATCACTTAATATTAAGTTAGTAATGAAGATGTTTAAATACACAGAAAAGCTAACGTTTCAGTTGCATGTAGTTTGCCGAGACCATCATGAATCCACAATAACTCTGCATCAAGATACATCCACTCCAAGATGAGAAGGTCTAGAAATAAGTTACTCTATATCTGAAAATCCAGGTAAATACAACAGATTCCAGAAGTGAGAAAATTCTACAAATATCACCTCATACATACAATCTGTAAGACATGGCATAAAGTTAAACAATCTTACTGTTTCATGCAGATTATCCTGGACCTAATTAAACAAATACGTTTCTGCAATTCAAAAAGCTGGAACACTACAGGGAAAAAAACATTATCTTTGCATTTCAAAATCTCTTAAACACTCCTTCCAGTTGGACTACGCTGTCTGATTTAATAAAACAAAAAAACTCAAAGTGAACAGAAAGTGAAGTAAATAGACCATAATATAACGAGGTAAAAATTGGGCTGCAGCAGCAGTCTTACCATGGGCAAGAAAGCTTCGTGCAAGCCAATTAGTGCACGTGATACCAAAGCTAGCTTGCTTAGAACTACTGCTGGTGTCTTCACATGTACTATAGTCTCCGGTGATACGTCCCAGGTAAGAACCCTTAACTCAAGTTCTTGCTCTATCTTTCATTTATCTATTCCGCCAACCCCACTCCAGGCAAAGTTTTACTGGGGGGATGCTAAAGCATCCTTCTCTTTCCTCTATCCAGGAGTGTATGCTGTGATCCAATGCAAGAGAACTCACATCTACCTGCATTCATTCTGCATAAATCCCTACGGAAAAGGGAGGGACTACAGACTTGCAATTACCTTTTTGTAAAGCTTACAAAAGCTTTGTGGTACATATCTAAAGAGTTATAATGGCTGTTAGCGCTTAGCAAGAGTAGTCAACTTGTGAGAAAGACTTATATTCATTTCATCAATACAAAATTCAGACTTATTATTTCAGTGCTACATAACCCAATTCCAAAAGAAGTTCAAGTACTTGTCCTCTTACAACATAGAGATTATGAATACTATGCTTGTCTACTATTCATGATTTTAGGTAGTAGGGGGAAGGTTTAACTTTTTCCTGCAAATAAAATAAGAATCACTCAGTATTTCTTGATGATTTTTTTTCCTTTGGTAAGACTGGTATTTCACAAGTAGCTGCTTCTCCCCTCATTCTTTATTTACATGCCTACATATTTCAAATGATCTTCAAATCCCATCCTTTCTACGACTCAGCAGCAAAAATTCTCAAAGTAGCATGAAGTGGAAGTGACAGCACTGCAATGCAGTTTAACCTCCTCGGAGTAAAACTGGCAACAGCTTTGAAGGTATCAGATTCCTTTGCAACTTCCTAAATCCTCCCTAACTCTCAATTTTTTTTCCCCTTTTTGAAAGAAGAACAAGGTTGGGTCCCTCTAAGGCTGTTGGGAACTCATTTTTATCGCCTTAAATGCTGCAGAATTTATAAGCTGCCTTTTCACTAGTTGAGCCACGCATGCATGTTGCACTGACAAAGTTTTAAATTTATTACATAGAAAATTTAAAATCATTTCAAGAATTCATAAGCATGGATTATGTCAGTCTATTATTACATAAAGTAATGTGATATGTACAAATACTAAAAAACAACTTAGGAGGACTTAGTATTTTATGTTATATGCTCACCTTGCATTGAAAAAAAAAACAAAACAAACCAATCAGTCTAATTTCAAGTATCTAGCATATGTAATAAAATACTTCTAAAAATCTAGACCACTAATAGACAGAAAAAAGATCAATTCTAAATCATAGGAGTTCCAACATTTTTTCTACATTTCTTAATTCTAATTAATTTTATAAATTGCCAGCGCCATTGAATGCCTCAGAAAAATGACAGTTCAGATTCTTTTAGACATAGACCACTGGAGATGCTACAGCAACAGCTACATTAATGCTCATAACGACTTTGAAGTTAGCCCTGATTTGCGCTGGAACTGGGCCAGATGACATCCAGAGGTCCCTTCTGCCCTAAACTCTTCTATAATTCTACAGTTTCTCCTTCATAAAGAACCATTCCAGAACAAGGTGGGGAGAGCCAACAGGAAGGCAATGTTATCAGCTCTTATTAAAGGTGACATGCTTGGAGAAATTGCACTTAACTGATCTAAGAGCTTACTAGAGAGTGGGAGGAGGTCCTGCTCCCTCTCTCCCTAGCCATTCTCAGCTGCACGTTGTGGTTCCGTCACAACTCTTGCACCAGCTCTGGTGTTAACAGGTTCTTCATTGAGCCAACTCAGCTCGCTAACCAGGTTGCTAAAGCAAACAGTCTTCTGCTCAGTAAATTAAACTGGCTAAATATATGGTTGCTAGAAGCCCAGCATACAGCAGAGATGGAGAGGAGTGATTGCAGCACCTCACTGCAGCACCAGTAAACCATTAGACTGATGTCAGCAACTTAACAGTGAACTTTGACATACGCATTTGAACAACTCATGCAAAGAATACACCCAAAAGGAGAATTTAAAAAAACAAAAACAAACAAACAAAAAGATTCTTAGGAAATCAAAAGATCCTAATCAAAATCTAAACAAATTATGAGTGATTAGACTTCTGAGACATTAAATTGCACAAGTCTTATTCACAGTGAAAAGCATTACTCACTATTCCTACTGTTTTGCAAGACTAGGTTGATAGTTAATTTAAGGCTTTAAAATTCATAGAATTACTCTCCATCAGACTTTCTAAAGTCAAAGATAATGAGATTAACATACCTGAAAAATATACTTAGTGCTAGTACAGCAGGAGACTACTAATTCAGAAGACAACGGTTTTTAGGTACTGTAGTATTTATGATCTCAGTGTGCATAAAACTATAAAAGTGATTAATTTCATTTGGTGACTGGGCTAGGAAAAAGGTCAAAGGAAAAATTATTTCTATTCAAACAAAAAAGGGGCTTTTTTTAAACCAAGCAATACTAAATTATTTTCAGGGGCAATAAAAACTAGGTATTTCATTTCTGAGTGTTTTTTTAATCTTTAAAAAAGTATTTTAACTAGAAAGATACATCCCTATTCAAGCATGACAATTAAAAATTTAAAAATTTTGGAATGCAATCAACCGTAGAGAATGAAAAAAAAAAAAAAACCACCACAAATACTTTGCTAGAGATAGTGTTACCAGTATATGTTTAGACTGGAAATAAAAGCTCAAGTTTAGGAACAAGTATCAATTCTTACTATTACGTCTAACCAGATAACAAAAATGTCCTCTTACCGTAATGCAGAGTAGACTCCCAAAGATAAAAAAGAATAGTCTGGATCATAGTACAGATAGACAGAGGACACGCAGTAGGGCAGGATATCAATTACACCGACAGCAATTATCTTCCCATCCAGCCAATACTGCTGGTGGAAAGAACCATAGCCACATTCTGGTCCATTTGGTGCATTCTCTGCCTAAGCAAAAACAAAAGAGGGATGTAATTATCAGACAGGTAGACTTCAGCATAAAAATCATTTTAGAAAGAATTTTAAGACAAAAGCAAATTCTCTGAGAGATTACTCCTGCTATCCATGTTTAGAGAAAGGAAAAAAGGGATTTGAGAAGTAGGGAAAACAATGTTAGTTTGCTGTATCATTTCTGACCTCCATTGTACTCATGATGAGCAAGCTCTATATATCACCCATGCCAAACACAAATCCGCAAACAGCCTCTGCCATCTAGCTCTTACAGTACTGAAATGATAAAACAATATGATTCATCAAGTTATTAATGCATTATTACATGCAAACAAATTCTGCAGATTTTTTTTTTCTTTTCATAGTTTGGCCTTTAATTTAACCTACTTACTCTTCAACAGGAGATGAAGCCCAAAGGCAGAAAGGTGAAATGCAGACATTACATTACACTATGCTGGTGCTTCCCAAAGCTGGCTCGACTGCATAGTTCCTCCAACACTGTGTGTCACGGCAATGACCCTACTGTTTCTCTCCCCCATGCCCCCAAGTAGTGGAAGCACTTTGGCCACAGAAATTCAGTTTCTCAGAGTGGCCATTAAAGTTGCTGGAGAAGAGCATTTATTAGAAAAAGAACTGAACACCTTACTCTTTATGTGAGGTTTACTCTTTATGAGGTTTACTCTTTATGACCAACGAAACAACATTTCTCTAAGAACCTGAAACTCTCTGTTGCAACAGAAACTGTGGAGCTGCTTCTTTGTCAGCCCACATCAGAGTATCCTCTGCAAAAACACTAAGGAACTCACTATTCTTGGGCACTCCGGTTTTGGATGTGCAGTGAAATATGCCTTCGGACAGGGTAAAGCACCCAGAGCCAGAAACTGGTGCTTCACATTAAGAAGAAAATTATCTCCTAATTTAAACTGTATTACACAACCAACTTTGGCATGCCATTTTCTCCCATGTCAAGTTTACTTTAATCCTGAATTCCACTGTGCTCAACTTAATTAGCCATCTAGTCATGTTTTTCACTGCATTGCCAGATCTTCAGAAAGCTGCTTCTCACTCAATAAATCTGACAATATGGCCTACTATTACCAACTGTTTTGCATTACAACAGAAGGTGGGTTTAATCAAGTATTTTGATACAGTAGCGCAGACTGAAGAGATGATGGGCAGTAGAAGTTATTCTAATTGGTACCACATGTGTCAAAAGAAATCAATCACGTGAACAAAAATCATTCCAACTGACTTACCCAACCAATAAGTCCCAAAATAAAGGCCATATAATAAAATGTTTGCATTTTTATATGGTTATATAGCATAAAACTAGACATGGAGCTACAGATACTGTAAAAGTGAAACAATCAAACATTTGAGAGTTCAATCTGCAGTATACGAGGATATTAGATGCAGATACTAGCGTTCCTTCTCATTCAGGTAAAGCCTACTTATTCAACAGTTATGGTTTCATACAATATCCTCAACTTTTCAGTAGAGCCAAATGAAATCACATGGTCCCTAGTAAAACTTTTAAGCTGGGACACAGTCAAGAAAGAGATTTTCTTGAAGGATTTCTCAGCACTGGTTAAGTTCTCCTCTCAACTACCAGGGTGCAGCCAGTGACAGAAAAAATGAAACATCTCCTGCAAGCCAAGGCGAAATGTGATTGGTAATATAACACAGACTTGCTTAAATAAGTTTCAGTTAAAACAGATTTTCTTTCTTTGTCAAAAACTCATCATGTAGGATTTAATGAATGTTAAAAAAGATAGTCTAAGCCAACATGGAAAAGATTTTCACTCAAAGCTAAGTCTTCTGAAGTTAAACGAATGCTGTGTCTGTGTGTGACCCCAAACCTCCAAATGGCATCGCATGGGCTCATTCATCCACCAGACCTCTGCAAACTGAAGTATTAGCATCAGTTAACAATTTCTAGTAAAGTATAAACTACAGTTATTTCACTAATGCAATTACAAGGGGAAATGTCATGAGCATAAAAGAGGCTATGTTCTACAACAAACACAATAAGCACAGCACTGATTTCAGGCAAAATGTTCAGGGATTTCCATTACGTTAAGTAAATAACATTTTTAAAAAGAGCAGCATTTTCTTCCTCCTTGAAAAGTTTTCATACAATGTAATCCTTTGTAATGCTTGTAGGTATTATATTTTCTCCAATTTCTCAATGAATACTTGGCTCCTTTAACCTAATTTCTCATGTACCATCCAGGCAATTTGACGTGAAGCAGGTCTAGAATATTAAACATTTTTCTGAAGCAGGTTATCCCATTTCACACTACTCCCATGTCCACCTGGGACTATGTTTGTCAAAGGTGATGTAAAATATATCAGTGATATCAGGTGAGCAAGCCCCACCAGAGAGAGCTTACCTTATCTACCCGAAATAATACACATTAGCCCTGGAATCAATCCAGAGGGACCAACTTATTTAAAATTAACAATTTATACTCAAACTTCAATAAAATGAATTATTATCATCTGATGATATTGAAACAATCAAAAAAAGAAGAACTAAATCCAGGACAAAAATTAAAACAAATAAATTTTTCTACAATGTCTAGACTAGAATGCAGAGAAAAATACAATATATTCCATCACACGTTAATTCTACCTGTCTTCATATTCTGCTAGCTAATGATTCCGTGAACATATTTAATTGCTCATATTTTATAATGCATTATTAAAATTTAAATATTTAATAGCAACTGGTATTACATATTGCCCCAATTAGTACACCTCAATGTAATAACTGCTTATAATTGAACTTCAATGATGGTAAGAGCACTTAATTTTCTTCAAAGCACATTGGTCTTTCTCTTTACTTTTAAGAGAGGTTTTACTCCTTTATTATCATTATTATTATGGAAATTGCACTTGCTAACATGCCAGACCACTGTGCAACTGCAGGAGGCACTGCATACTCACCTACCAAAAATGGGTCCTGACCATACTAACTGCATGATTAGTTTTTCTCTGGAAGGTTTCACGAAATCTCCTACTTTGAACTTTTCCATATTACCCTTTGCTGTGGATGGAGGGAGGAGGAAGATATGAAATCTAATCTATCCCTTACACAAAGGAAAAAAAAAAAAAGCCAGGAAACCCTTGACTTGTACAATTCAGTAGAAATTATTTGCTGAAGAAGTGAAGTGATTAATTCCAGCAGTTCCTTTCCCAAAGGCGCACACACACACACACACACACAACCTATGGTAGATTTCTATCTCTTGGTTAGCAACATATTTCCTTTTCACTACTACGTCCTCCTTTCATTAGGGATCAATGGAAATGCTGTGAAAGCAGCCTACAAATATAGGCTGTGTCAGCAGAGAGGTAGCACTGCATGTTTTCATTAAAAAAAGCCAGCAATGCACCCTCGCAGCAAAAAAGGCCAACAGCATCCTGGGCTGCGCCAGGCAGGGTTGAGGAGGTGAGCTTTCCTCTGCTCAGCACTGGTGAGGATGCAGCAGCAGTGCTGGGTCCAGTGCTGGGCTCCCCAGTACAAGAAAAATAAGGACTTACTGGGGCAAGTCCATAAGGGCCATAAAGATGGTTAAGGGACTTGACCATCTGAGGTATAAGGAGAGCTTGAGAAAACTGGGACTCTTCAGCCTCGAGAACAGATGATGCAGGGGGAGGTTTTATCAGTCTGTAGAAATACCCAGTGGGAGGGAATGAAGATAAGGGAGCCAGATTCTTCTTAGTAGTTACCACTGACAGGACAATCATAGAACCACAGAATCATTAAGGTTGGAAAAGACCTCCAAGATCATCGAGTCCAACCGTCAACCCAACACCACTGTGCCCACTAAACCATGTCCCTAAGCACCACATCTACACGTCTTTTAAATACTTCCAGGGATGGTGACTCCACCACTTCCCTGGGCAGCCTGTTCCAAGGCTTGACCACTCTTTCAGTAAAGAATTTTTTCCTAATGTCCAATCTAAACCTCCTCTGGCACCATTTGAAGCCATTTCCTCTTGTCCTGTTGCTTGTTACTTGGGAGAAGAGACCAACACCCACCTCACTACAACCTCCTTTCAGGTAGTTGTAGAGCGCGATGAGGTCTCCCCTCAGCCTCCTCTTCTCCAGGCTAAACAACCCCAGTTCCCTCAGCCGCTCCTCATCAGACTTGTGCTCCAGACCCTTCACCAGCTTCGTTGCCCTTCTCTGGACACGCTCCAGCACCTCAATGTCCTTCTTATAGTGAGGGGCCCAAAACTGAACACAGTATTCGCAATGCATGCAAATTGAAACACATGAAATTCAATCTGAACAGAAGGAAACAGGTTTTAACTGAGAAGGTGGTGAAACAGTGGCACAGGCTGGCCAGAGAGCCTGTGGAGTCTCCATCCTTGAAGATATTCAAAACCCATGGTCCTGGACAACCTGGTCTAGCCAACCCTGCTTGAGCAGGGGAGTTGGACTAGGTGATCTCAAGAGGTCCCTTCCAACCTGAACAAATCTGTGATTCTGTATCAAAACAAAGTAAATCAACTCACTGCATCAAAAAGTAAGACAATGTCTACAGAGCTAACTTCTGTACCTTATTGGAAAAGTATAGTATTTGAGCTATACTGTCAACTATTTCATCAGGACAGGGATAAGAAGTTTAAAATGCTAAAAAGATTAGTGAAGCTGTGAAGGTACAAGGGACTTCAATAGCAAGAGACGTGGAGTATCACCATGTAGACATCATGGTGATGTCTACACCACTGTAAGAAAAAAAAGCAATTTGCCAAGATCTCTAAATGCAATGACTTTTGATTTCGTCCTGAGCAGCGCATCAAATGTGACTAAAATATGACATTCTACAGAAGGTGATCCTGGGAATTATAGACCTGTAACCATATCATTTGTTATTACATCTCCTAAAAATTAACTCATATCAATAAACAAAATAAAGTAGAGCAGAAGCTGATGTGCTTTTTGAAGAGCAAAGATCTAGATTCACAAACGCCTTTCAGTTCTTTAGGATTCAAAAGCGGATCTCAATACGGATAAAAGCAAGCAAAGTGAGAACAAATGATCATTTACATAATGGAAAGCAGCTCACTTTCCATCGCGCTGGATCTATTCTCTTCTCTATACTGGTATGTGAATCACTGACGCCTGAACAATGTTGCAGCAAACTGAGCTGATAATTTGAAAGTATTCAGGATGGTTAAGCAAGAGCTGAGTGTAAACAACTACAGAAAGTTCCCAAGTGATTAAAAAGGCAGAGGAAATATCAAATGTTCATAAACGCATGGAACATAAATGCATGGAGAAAAAAATATTGCTAAACACACACATCTAAAACAATGGGTATAAATTAGCAATTCACTCAAAAAGATGCTTTTGAGAGCAGTTTTATGAAATCATTGATTTAATACTCAGCATCAGTCAAAATGGAAAAAGACTAAAGAGCAATTAGAGAAGGATTTGAAAACAAAACAAAAAAAACCAACCAAACAAAAAATCATCATTTGACTGCGTAATGCCATGGCGCATCCGAGTATTGAGGCTCCTTCCAACTGTTGTATCAAGACGACGTGGAACAACTCGAGAAGGACAAACGCAGAGATGACTATTAATGATGCCGATACAACCACTGGCCCAGAACATCCTCCTAACTCACCGAGCACCAAAACCTAGGTAGGAATCCACCCTGAGCAGTTCAGATTTTCCCTGTGTCCTTCTTCCATAAACGCTCTCACTTTGGCAGCAACACGGTACCAGGCCACACTGGTTTTTGGTTAAGACTCCTCCATGCAGCTCTCCTGTACTGAACCATTATAACCGTACTACCTCTCCAAACAAAGTGTTATTTGCACATGTGAAGTAGTAAAAGGGCAAATGTTTAAATGTAGCTTCTAAGACAAAAGGATGAATTAAAAACCCCAAAGAAACAGTTCTCTCTACATTATCCTGTTTACACAATCCAGAAAATTGCCTAGTTCTCTGCTACTATAGACTATCGTTTTTGAAACTATTCATTTTTTGTGCCAGAGCCCATAGCCAAAACTGAAACTAAACAGAATAATAAAATGGGGAAATAAAAAAGACAGAATGAGTTTGGGTGTTCATACTATTTGCAGCTAATAATAATATTAAAAATTCAAAAAATCACAAATTGAAATCACGTAAGGTTTAAATTTGATTTTAAATTATTTTTGTTCAAAAGAGTAAACAGACTACATACTACTAGATTTGCTTGTGGCAACCGTTTCAGAATAAAGAATTTCAAGAATCTCTTGGCCTCTGATATACAACCCCTTTTATTTAACTTCATCTAATTGAAGACATCTGTAGTGGTGCCACACAAAATTTAATTCAAGCTTCGAAATGTCAATAAAAAGTGTCTGTAAGAAACAATACCGGTATAAACCTAGCAGGGAAGTGTGCATCAACATCTACGTAGCCATACAAAATTAAGAATATAATGGCAGTCTGCTGCCCGAGTTGACGAGGTGATAAAAGCCCTTTTCCTATAAAGTCTAATGAGCTCTATTACTCTTCAGCTTCAGGAATGTAGAGGCCAGTGGACTCAGCAGAGAAAAGCAACAAACTCTCCACACATGGATTCATTCAAACTGCGACATATCAAATTACTAGCATAATTACTATAACCTGACAATTTCATTACAGTCACGTGGTATTTAACTCTTTAAGACTAACAAGACAGACAGTGCAAGAAATCCGCAGCAGTTTGCTTACTTGAAATGAAGCAACAGCATCTCTCCTAAACTTTTAAATCAGATTGTGGTCAAATACCAGTTCAGTAAGTTATTTTGTAATATATTTTTTTCTTTCATAGAAATAAATCAAGAACAGAAAAGACATGGCACTTTCTGTGCTACTGTTTCTTAACGCAGTGATATGAAATTCAGTGGTAGCTTATTATCCAGCAAAGGAGTCCTCAGACTCCTTTGAAAATACAGTGCTATCTTCCTTACCAGTCGGTGATGATACAAATATTGTGATACCCATCCATACCACCTATACTATAATGGTTTGGTTTTTACAGAGAGTAAAGAGGAAAGAATACATTCATTTCAAAACTTGCATCTAGAATGAATACATACCTCCAGAGGAGAATCACAGAGGAATCGTGTGAACTGCATTGAGGTAGATTCATCAGAAATATGTGCCCAAGACGACAGTCCAAATATGCAAAGCAGAAAAACAAGAAAAATATTAGCAATACTTCAGGATACATTAACAGGCAGACAAATACATTCTTTCAAAACCATATATTTGAAAAACACCATTCCGTTGGTATCTGCCCCATCACTAAAGCAAAGGGGTTAGGGCCATCATATCTCTTAATATAAATTGGTTAAGTCTATTTACATTCAAAATCATAAGCAAGCCTGTTTTAAGTCTAAAGAAGAGGAAGAAGAAGAAAAAAAAGAATCAACTTCCTGAAAGTGCAAGCATTTTCAAAACTCAATTCTTTACTCAATACAAAATGATGTGCCGCAGATAATCAATCAAAAAGGCAAGGCTTTAATGATTTGGAGCTTGTTCAAGATTCTAAGAGTAATAAAATGTAATAGTTATTTATTTACCATCATTTAGATATTTGATAACAAATACTTCCTTATTGGTGGATTCCACATTAAACATGTTACAAAGCTCTGGTATGTACTTAACCCTAAAACACTCCTTTGTTAAAAAGCTAGTATGTGTTACACAGTTTAATTCCCCCTCTTGTAATAGCTGGATGATTTAAGTCAGCAGTTCGCAAACTGCAAAGTAATAGTAAATAGGAACTTTTAATTAAAAGTTTGATAAAAAGAATATATGTCGACACCTACAAAAACCTCATTGTTGTCAAGATTTTATTTTCAAGAATTCTATTAATTTCTGAGATTAATTAAAGAAGATTATTCTATTCAAAGAGGAATACGAAAAATGGGGTGATAGCTTGCCAATCATCCCATTTTTCCCAGGGAAGGGGAGGAGAGGAAGGCAGGCAACAATAAAAAGTGCCAATATTGCAAGTTGCTGACTTAGGACGGAGTTCCATATACAGCCTAACTAATTAAAACTTTCTCTTTTCTTCAGAGGGTGCTATAAAGCAGATTTTAGAAATAAAAACACAGCCTCTGGTAGATATATATATCAATCTGCAAACATTAACTGAATCATTCTCATTGTAGCTCAAAGCAAACACAACCTTAACTTTCCCTAAGACTGTGTCTCCAAGAAAGTGCATCTGTTGATGCTAAAAGAATCAAGACTTTGCAGAAGTCATATTTCAGGCTTTTTCCCCCTCAAACACATAGCAGTAGCTGATCTATGGATCAATGGTAAACCTTTGGACACAGACTTTATGGAAGAATGCTGAATTTCTATAAGGTGCTGGTGAAGACAGGAGATTGTGCATTTCCTATAATTAACCATTTCAGACCTAGTCACCACCATTCTAAATTACTCAGAGTTTGGAAAAATGAATGACTGCAATATCTTAATTAAATTCTAGAATTTTTACTTATTTGGTGGATAGGGAGAGAGAACAAGAGAAAAAAAAACAGATAACACTTAAAGAGAAAAAAAAAGTAATTCAAAATTTGAATTATTGAATTATGTTCCTATAAAAAAAGAACAGAGCGTTACAAATTCCTACACTGTGAGTGCATCAGTCCTTACAGCCAGTGATTATAGAATGTGCAGGCTTCAGAAAAAATAAACCATGTGTTATTAATTTCCGTGTCAGAAGACCCCCAATAGTTCCTAATCTGTAACTTTAGCTTTATAGTGCAAGTTAAACCCTATGGGTGAGAAAACTGAGCCAACGACACTTTTCAAATAGTTTTATCCATTCTCCAGGCTCTGCTGTACAATCCCTTGGCTTTGGGGGTGAGGGGGGACTTTTTAAGTGTACCTGAGCATAACTGCTGCTTGTTAGGGAGTGTATACTGTTACAACTATCTATACTGCTGGCTAGAAAAAAATTCTTAACTGCACTTCAGTTTGTATCACAATCTTATGGGGGAAAAAAAACATTGCAAGTCATGTTACATATTATTTCATTTGTTGATACTTGCTAAAGTTCTCAGGTTAGACAATTTTCTTTACCAAGTCCTAGAAAACTTCAGAAGACTGTGAATCTTCCCTAGAAGTTAATTAAGAAACAATTGCCTGAAAACTCAACAATTTTTTGCTGTGGGTTTGTTGTGGTTTCGGGGGGGGGTGTTTGTTTTTTGTTTTTTTTTTTTAAGGAAGAATTTAATTGACACATAGAGCTGGAGAACTTAATAAATATTTTAGATCCACTGACCTCTGCTGTTATCTTCTCAACCCTTACTCTCCCCTCCCACCCCCAAATCCACAGCACTTTCATCATAACCCAGGAATATACCTAGTCTATATATTTATTTAAACTGAAGTAAAAGTAAGATTCAGTTTCTAAATAGACAAACTCATTTAATGCTGCAAGTTTATTATGAACACAATTTAAAAATGATTCAACAAACCATGAAAGAAATACAGTCAAAAGCTGGTGTGGCATGTAAAATAACTCAATCTGTCACACAAGCACAATTAAAATTCCTTTCACAAAGTCATGCTTTTCTAATTTTAATTTCAAACTGAATTACATAAACTTTAGTCTTTTAAAAACTATTTAAGAGATAGATATAGATATAGATATATATATATGAAATCCACAACATTTTTTGGTGCAAACTAATTACAGTTGCCAGAAAAAAAATCAACAGAACAACAGGAAATAAGTTCAAAGATAATTAATAAAACTAAGAGCAGAACACATCACTGAGAATTAAATCAAAGAGGGGGGAAAAGGCAGAAAAATAAAAGGAAGGTTTGATTCAACCCAAAGCTACTTGCTTGAGTTAAAGCACACACACAGCTTTAGAAAGCTGTAATAAAACTAGTGTTAACACCTGCTTCCTTTTACAAGTGGGGGGAGATATTCAAATGCTTTGGATGCTAAACCGGAACGGGTTTCACCCGGTAGCTCAGTAACTTTCTGAATGCGAGGGTTACTGATATCACACAATGATGTCATAGCCTTCCCAGGAAAAAGCAGCTTTGAACCGTCATCACCGGCAACTGTAAAATTATCTGAGATCTTCAGTGCGAAGATATCACAGAAAGGCGTTCATTTATAATTTTCCCTTTGACAGTATTAGAGTTTGCTCATATTTGCAATTCACTGTGAAGGAAAACTGAGTATTTGCCCTTCTCCTTTGAGTAAAGGAGGGGTGAGGAATGGATATGGGATTTGGGCCTTTTTTTTTTTTTAAATCTAATCTCTGAATGGGATTAAAATAAAGCAAGGTGTCGGCTGTTTTTTGGTTTTATTTTTCATAAATGTGCCAGGATTATAATAAAATAAAAAATAATGTTACAAGTTTCCATAGAGAAGACAAGTCATACAACCTACAGTTCCAGTGTATCGCCTCCATGTGTATCAAGCAAGTTTATTCTCTCTTCCCTCCCATTTCCAAGACCAACATAATGAATGCTTCCCCATCTTTGGAACTAAAAGTGCCCAAACGAATCTTAGTGTACCCACCAACAGAAACAAGCCACGAAAAGATGGCATTCTTTCTAGAGGGCTCCTGGCATCTTCCCTAACTCATTTTACAAAGAGTTTTTCCTCCTCAAGTAGGGCAATCGTTAGGTATCTCACATATGCAGGGAAACGAAGAGCTAGGATCCTTGTAGAGAGGAGAGAGGTTTCTTGGGTTTTGCTTCTCTAGAAGCTCCTTTCCAGGTCAAACTCTTTTCCTGTATTATCCAGCTCCTCTTGGCTTCATGCAAACCCTGCACGAGTCTGCAGGACATCCTGCCACTACCAAAGAAAGGAGCGATGTCCCCCTCTTGAGCTCTATTACTTTTAAGACATCGGCACTTCTTACAGGTTCAGAATAAATAGGTTTTTGCTCTCAGACATTCAATCTTCCTTGTTCATCAACAAAAACTGTTTCTAAGGCAGTTTACTTTTTAAAGAACTTGGTCTGTAGTCATAAGCACACATTGTCCCAGGACATGTGTTCAGATTTATTTGGTGCATTGGGTTGCCATATTTTAATTGAAATAATCTTCCCTAGCCAAAACAGACTAGAATCAATATTAACAATAAAGTTGTGGAGTCAAAAAAGTAAAAAATAAACAATAAAAAAAAAGTCAAATTTTCAGTAAGGCTAGAAGAAGCTACTAAATGCCCCCCCCCC